CCCAGCCAATTGGGTTCCCGTGGAACCCAGATCTGCTGGGTTCGGTGAACCCAGATCTGCTGGGTTCCATTGGAACCTAGCAGATATAGAGGAAGAAGAGGAAGAAAGAAAAAGAAAAAGAAGAAAGGAAGAAGATGATCGAAAGAGGGGAAGAAGATGGATCAAAAAGGGGAGATGGGTAAATTTGTAATTTTTTATTTTTTTTATTAAGGCAAAATTAGTTGATGAGTTGGCAGTGAGTTGGCTTAAAAAAAAATTCCACATCAACGTTTTTTAAAATTATTTTTGCCACATCATAAAAAAATTATAAAAAATGCCACATAAGCGAGTTAACGACCCGAATTAACAGAAGGACTAACGGAGTGCATTTCATATAGTTAAGGGATCAAAAAAGTGCAAAAAATTGTTAAGGGACCAAAAATGTGCAACTCACTAAAGTTGAGGGACCAAATTTAACATTTAACCTAGATTTTAAAGATTGGATTGGACGAAACTAAATAAAATAGGTACATCTAAATTTAATATCATGTTTGGCATATTGTTGGGTTAAATAGAGTTTTAAATAAAAATATTATTTGTTATGAATAAAACTATCCTTATCACAATTATACTCATCAAAATTTTGTTTTAATTTATTTTACAGTATAATTCATTATTAATAATGGTATTATTAATTAAATTGTTGAAAAATATAACAAAATACCAGTTAATTACCTTCAATATTTTACTTTGTTTCCACTTGAATCAATCCGCTAAACCACAAAAAAATTCAAGTTAATTTTCATCAAAAGTATTTTTCTTTGTTTTCCCAAGAACCAAACAACCAGACAAGCATATATCCTCATTTTCAAGCAAACCCAAATTTTGTTTTCGAATATCTCTAAATTCCACAAGGTAAACTAATAGAGCAAAAAATAACGAAATTTGCTATAATTCTCCAAATTTCATTAAATTCAAAACAAAAAAGAATGAGGATGAAATGAAACAAAGCATAACAAATCTTTAATAGCATGAATTCCATAAAGCAAATTTGAAAAAATTAAGCAAAAATTAAAATTGCAAAATCGAATCCACTGGGTGGTTTCAAATTTTCATTAACAAGTTCTAATTTTCAAAAACCAACTCAAACGAGCAAAACCCATCTGATATCTTTTGACAATTTTCAAAATAACGGAGGTTAGAAAAACACACAACATAAAACCACAAATAATTTCTATGCTCACTTCAGATCTATAATGTAGTTGAGTATCGATCCGAGAAAATATATTGGAGAACCACTAAGAAGCCACCAAAATTGCAACCAAAAAGGAACCTCCATGCCCCAATCCTAGTTGTTTTCCACTCTAATTCTTGCAATTGATCTTGTTCGAGTCTTAAGATTTGACAAAAACCGAGGAAAGAAGGATGGGAGGGCGAAGAAAAGAGAAGAAGATGCAAGAGGAGGAAGAAGAGGCAAAGTTGCAAAGAAGTAGAATGAGAAGGAAGAAGAAGAGGAGCTCATTCTAAAGGCAAAAGGTGCAGATCACCCCCTAAACTCAACAACTGGTGGCAAATCACCCCCTTAACTCACTTCATGCGCATATCAACCCCTCAATTCACCTGCAGTGGCAAATCAGCCCCTCCCTTAACGCTTTTGTTAACATTTAACGTTCCGCTCATCAGCCCTTCCTTTGGGTCTGACGTGGTTTTTTTTTTCTAAGATAAATGCTGAGATGGAGGTGCCACCTGCACAAATACCCCAGAATCATCAAATTAAGCAAATTACTTTTCTACCTTTGAATTGTTTAGGGAAATAAAATTGGGGATCCAGGGATCTGGGGTTTTACTTCTGCTAGCTTCTATCGTCTTCTTCATCTCTTCGTCCTTTCAAAAATTAAACACTGTTTCTTTAAGATCTGCAATTCATCGATCGTTGCTTCTTCATCAAGCTCTGAATCGTCAATGAAATTACCATATTTTGAGGAGACATTGCTGTACAATTTTCTTCAAAATTTGAGGGTCTCGGAGTCGACCCTCTTGATGATTGAACAGGGTATAAATCGGCCGGACCAAAGTTGGACTGTCTTCCTGGAAACCCCTGAATTCCCATCATGGAATAGAAATCGGAATGGTTGAAATTCGAACCTTTGGACGTTGGATTCCGAGATGAGCTTAAGCTGTATATCTTAGCACCGGTAAGTTTGGATGGCCGTGGCGTCATTGCGAAGGAACAACGAGAAGCGTTTGATTTCCTCAAAGTGACGTGAAGCTTCCCGTCTTCTACAATTTCAGCGTCGGTTTCCAGAAATTCCCGTCCATGGAATGAGACAACGTTGGAATCCACCTTGAAGGAGACAATCGAGCGGCAGTCTCCGAGAACTGCTCCATGATCAGGATCTTGGCACCACCGTACTCGAAGAGAAAAAGAAGCAGCGTGTACCAGATGATGCATTGGAGAACCGCCACCTAGACCATAAGGCTGCCGGAGTCCTGGCCGTACATGGCTATCAACAGTGGAATGCCCATGACCAGAGTATTGGGCAGAGTAGAGAGTGAGAAAATGGTTATCATCCACTCCAAGCTTCTGTTCCTAGTGAAATTCGTCCACACCATAAGGAAGACAAGCATGATAATCTTCTGAAGTGTATCAGCGACAATGAACCTGTAATTCACTTTGTATGGATTGTTGGTGGCAATAAAGTGGAAAGACAAGAGCAGGATGACGAATATGGCGACGAAACGGTTGATGCCGGAGCACTGGTCCGGCAAGAAAATCTTCCACCAGCACACCTATGCCTACAAATCCTTCCAAGAAATCATTTTTCACAAAAAAAAAAAAAAGAAACGATTTTTTGTTAGCAAAGATATATATATACATATATATTTTGCTAAAAACCTGTTAACAAAGATTAAAACTTTGAAACCAAAAAAAAAAAAACCACGTCAGACGCAGAGAGAGGCTTATGAGCAGATCATTAAAAGTTAATGGATGATGATGTCAGCTTAACAAAGGGGCTGATTTGCCATGCAAGTGAGTTGAAGGGTTGATTTGCGCGTGAAGTGTGTTGAGGGGGTAATTTGCCACCAATTGCTGAGTTTAGGGGATGATCTGCGCCTTTTGCTGATTCTAAATGTCAATGGAGGAGATGAGTTCTGATGGCACCAACATGAAAATTTGGGTCAGGGACAAAAAATGATTGGCTAGAGGAGAGGGGTAAAAATTAAAAACAAAATTTAATTCTGAGTAAACCCATGGGATACGTGGGATATAATTTATTTGATAGAGATAGGATAGGACGTAAAATGGAATACGGATCATCCCTTCTCTTTAGCCCACCAAACGTGGGACATAGTGGGATCGGACAAAAAATATATCCTATTCCACTGTTTAGCCAAGGCTCCAAACGAGCTCTAAGAATTTTGTCAATATATGGATAAAGAGAAAAATGTTTACAAATCACATCTGTAAAAAAGTTAGACAAAATATCTTTAAATTATATTATTTTAATTAATTTCAATTAAAAACATTAAAACATCTTAATTTTTAAAACAAAAATAACACTCTTTTAATTTTTTTATAGTACTTTAAATTTTTTTATCTATTTTTTACAAATATAACTAATTTAATAATCTCATGTAAATTATTTTCAAATTCTTAATTGGTGAGAAAAGCTAAAAAAATGAAAAACAAAATTGTTTTAAGATAGCTAAAGGGACCAATGGGAACTTTCTTGAGTTAATAGTTAATATCTACTTCATCTGTCTCACTAATAGAGGTGTTTTCAATTTATCTTCATATTAATGATTTTAAAACAATTTTTATTTTTACTTATTTTATTTTTAAAAAAGAAATAAGAAGAAAGAGACTTTTTTTTTTTGGTCATGGGATGAATAACAAAAATTAAGGGATAATGATAAGTTTAAATTAAAAAAAATATTTAATTTTCTTAAATATAAAAATTGATTATTATTTTGAAAAAAAATTAAATAAAAAATACCTATTATTTTATGATAAAAGAAGTACTAATTTGCTGAGTTACTAACTTTTCTTGTACTTCATTTATCTTTTCTTTTTTTTTTATAACTTTTTCTCCAAGTTCAAAAGAATTTTTTGTCCCAAAATTAGAAGAAGCATGAAATAAAAAGACAAAGTGAAACAACTTATTCCTCTTCTTTCTTCCATATCATTTCCACACAAGTTACTGTTAACTCAATGCATTCAAGAAGGGGGTAAATTAGAGTTGGAAAATTTTCATCTTTTTGCAATTACCAAATAAAAATTAAAGAAAAAGTAGAAAAGAAGAGCTTGTATAATAATTTTATAGAAGTTCGATCCAACCACTTAGAGTCTAGTGCTCTACCTCGGCTTCACTCACCAAGAATTTTCTCCACACTCTTCACTAAGAAAAATAAGGGTGGCTTAAAGAAGGTACTCGATTCGTTTACAAGAAGAAGGATGTTTCTCTCAAATCTCACCCCTTTACAAGTTAAGCCCCAAGAATCCTCTTTACAAATCACTCTTGAAAGAATAATCACACCCCAAGAATAACACACAAGTAGAACAAGAAGAGGATTAAAAGCAAAGATCAAAAACTCAAGTTAAAGCACAAGTTGGTAGGTAAAGATATTTAATACAATACTCTAAAACTTGGTTCAGATCTACTACCAATCATATTTATAATCCCTTGGTTGAAAATAGCCATTTCTAACCATTAGGGGTCATTACATGCTTTGCAAGTTGTATAATTTCGAGTTACAAATTTGTTAGCAAAGCCGGCTCTGAATTTGGAGTTAGCTTAACAGAGCTGGCTATAAAAACGTAAAGCCGGCTTTGGAAATCCGACTTTAAAAAGATTAAAAAATTTTTAAATAACTTGACCATTATTTATTAAATGCGCTTTCATAGTTGGCTGCAAAGTTAAAAGACAGCTTTGCATCTGTTTTTCGCACGCACCAAACTGTAGGTTTAAAACTTTCGCTCATAAAGCTGGCTATAGATTCTAAAGCCAGCTTTGGAAATCCGACTTTAAAAAGATTAAATAATTTTTAAATAATTTGACCATTATGTATTAAATGCGCCTTCATAGCTGGCTATAAAGTTAAAAGCCGACTTTGCATCCGTTTTTCGCACACACCAAATTGTAGGTTTAAAACTTTCACTCGTAAAGCTAGCTGCAGATTCTAAAGCCGGATCTTTGTAGTTTTATTCATCAGAGCCGACTGTAGATTTCTAGAGCTAGCTTTCTGCACAATTCTCAGGCTTTTGGTCCAGTTTAGTGTAGTTCAAGTTAACTTAATTTTGCAATCTTTTGACAGTTCAACTATACATTTAAATTAATAAATTAATCATTCGAATATATTTTGTAATCATCAAAATCATAGGTACAACAGTTACAAGCCTTATACATAGGCTTGAAGAATGGCAAGACTTACAGGAATAAAATCACCTAGTGAATAGCAATAGATCACCATGTGCGTGCATGACAAAGTGGGTTTTAATCACCATTATATGGAATGTATAAATGCATGAAATTATGGGATGTTAATTACCCTTATAATTGGATGGAAGAATTGGGAGGTGAGGAAGAAAGAGTGGAAGATGAAACATCAACCAAAGTAAATTTGATTCATAATATACAAGTATCTCAACCTTTGTAGTTTGGGAAAAGGGATAAATAAGGATGCAAATTTTAGATTTTTTTTTTTTAAGAATGTTAATTTTGTCAGTTTTTAAATAAAGATATTAACTTTTAATTTTTTCTATTTAAGAATGTCAACTTTCAATTTTTTCTATTTAATGATTAATTGAATGATAATACTAACATAACAAACAGATTTTTTAACTACAATGTTAAAAATTGATATTCTTAAATAGAAAAAATTAAAAGTTGACATCCTTAAATAAAAAAAGTTAAAAGTTGATATTTGTATTTAAAAACTAATAAAGTTAATATTTTTAAATAGAAAAAAGTGCAAAATTCATATCCTTATTTGCACCATTTCTCTTTGTAGTTTCTTTTCATTCTTTAAGTTTTAATGACAACAAAATTAATAGGTAGTATTGATTATTGTTATTGTTATTATTGCCCTACAAACTAACCTTTTTTTTTTTTTTTTGGTACATTAAGAATTATATACTTAATATTATAAGGGTTTGAACCTTTATTCTTAATACTGATTCTTTGTTTGGTTTGAAAAAAAAAGGAGAGAAAATGGGAGGAGATGGGAGATAATATCCTTCCATTTTCCCTCCCTTCCCTCCCCTTTCCTTGTTTGGTGATATTAAAATTATAAAAAAATAAATAAATAAATAAAGAGAAGCTCTTTCCCTTATCTCAAACCAAACAATTAATAAATCAAATCACTAATGCTGTAATTATAATATCACATAAATTGTTATTAAATAAATTGATGTATATAATAAATATATTCTTAAATTAAAAGAACTAATCACATAACAACATATTATAATTATGAACTTATAATATTATATAGTATTATAACTATATTACTTTCATAAATCAAGATTTTTAATTTGTGAGTATTGTACCAGGACTCTTGAACTTTTGTCGGTACTCTATACACTAACGAAATATGTCCATTGTCACATCTATATAAGGAAATTAAAGAACTGAAATTGTGGTTCTACAAGCTCCATTGCTTTTATGCATAGTTCAGCATTAAATGGACAGAGACTTGGCCATAACTCAATGAGTAAATGATACATGAAAGCAAATTTTAGGACAAGACCATAATTAATTACTACAGTATATTCCTCCTAAAAATTGAGTTTAACTATGATTATTCTAGCACGATACAAGAAAAATGAAAAGCATGTGCTAATAAATTTCGTACCACAAGGTTTTTTTAAGCCAAATCCATATCACACTGGATATATAAAGAAAGAAATAAGACCAATGCATGGCGAGCTGCTTGCTTTGACTTGACACCAGCGTAAAGTCATTATGATGATACTCTCAACCCTACTGAAACCCAGAGATCACTCCAAGAGCTTGATTTCCACTTGTAGATGCCATGCTCTTTTCGATTCCTTGTGCATTCTTTTCCTAACATAAAAACAAAGATAATTAAAAGAAATGATTGTTATTAATTTTGCAGAACTATCTTTCTTTCCATTACAGCATCTCAAGCAATAGAAAATATACGAGTAACTAATATGCACAGATGTTTTTTACAATCGCCTTACACTTAAAATCATTAGTTTTGGATTTGAAAAGACAATGCATTAAGATTCATTAATAGTAATTGAACTTTTCCCACCCTTAATAAATGATTGAACTTTTCCCATCCTTAATAAATGATTTTAAGTGTACTCCACCATTAAAAAAACCATTCTCGATTTATGCCAATCTTGATTTCATACGTTAATTTGAGTGGGAAAAAAAAAATAAAAATCCAAAGGTAAAATCCGAGAGGAACTCACCCAGGCAGAAGAAAACTTCAAGCTCTCTTCCCTGACTATCATGCCTAGGCTTTCTTTAAGCTCCTTCACAAATTCTTGCTCCATATTTGTCAAAAGCAAGTCCTTCAAATTGGTCAACTCCTTCAATTCATCAATATTATTGAGTTTTGTTTGGGCAGCTTCACAATCTAACACTGTTGAAGTCCTCAGCTGCTTCCACACCTGTAAATCCTGAGGATGTTTTCTCAGGGAAAACACTCCGACGCTTAAGTCAGCAATACTCGATATTCTAGAGAGAGAGGCTCTCAAGGAGTAATTGCAGAGAGAGAAGCGTAGAGATTAATTACCTTCATCGGAGGTAGTTGAGGGATATTTATAACCCCAAGTGCTGACATGCATCTGTACATGTGAGCATCTCATTGGCCCACGTGGTGCTGGTCACGTGGGTATGCTTGCATTAGTGTTCCCTCAACTTGGGCTAGTGGGCGGTAGTCTAGGCCCATTATGCACAGCCCTGTTTGGATGTTGGGCCTATTCCAACATTACTCCCCCCCTGGTGTTCGGTTGACGAACTGGGTTGGATGTGGCCGTGGGCTCGCGATCAACCTCGCTGACGGTCGAGTTGAAGGGTGGCACAAAAAGACGTGAGCTCGCGAGCCTGAAAGTGTGCAGGCGAGCTGATATCTGTAACCACACTAGTGTGGGCGGGTTATATCAACGAGCTGAAGTGGCTCACAAAAGGTGAGCTCGCCCAGTGAGTAGTCATGTGCTCAGGGTGCTATTCGCCATTTCAGCGAGTTCGTCCCCGTTAGCGTAAGCACAAGAGAACGTGTGACCACCTGACCCATGACTATTACCGAGGGTACTGGAGTGATCGGATGATGCCGTCAGTCAATCATAGTGACGAGCTGATACGGTGCGACCTCATCCACAGAACGATCTGAGAGTGTTGATTATCATACTTTATCAGCTCGCGTATGCAGTGGGGTTAAATAGAGCGATCTCATATATCTATCGATCTGTGAAACCTTTCACGAGCTGCCACTCTTGTAACGACCTGATAAATGTGGTCGTCCTGACGAGTTGGAATGGACGGGGAAAGGGACAGACCAACCTGTGATGAACTGAATTTTGGGGGATTTTAGCAAACGATCTATAATTGTGAACAAATTCTCACGTTTGTGACGACCTGGTAAATATGTCACGTTTGCGACGACCTGGTAAAGGTGCTCACAATGGCGAGCTGACGTGACGGGATAACAAATTCTCACGTTTGTGACGACCTGGTAAATATGTCACGTTTTCGACGACCTGATAAATATGTCACGTTTGCGACGACCTGGTAAAGGTGCTCACAATGGCGAGCTGATGTGACGGGATAGGGTACATATCGGCCGTTACGATCTGAATCTTGTGGATTTTCCAAATCAACCAAATCTCTAAGGAGATACGATTAATCTCCCCGTATCTCTCTGCCTTCCCCGTCATAAATGCTGGCTCAGCATTTAAGGGGACACGATAGCTAAAACCGGCGCACGCTATACGAAAGGGGCTTAGGCACCTGCCACGCGTGAGACGCTAACTGGCACGTCAGAAACACGCGTATGGCAATTAACAGAGCAATTTCAGTTTTATGCTTTACGTAACCGTTCACTTTTCCATTTTCATTTCCTTGTTTGCTTGAAATCTTCTGAAATTCTCTGTAGCGAAACATTTCGGCTTGAAGAACAGAGCACCGAACCACACACCACAACTTCGCATCACTTTCAGGTAAAATGGTTTCCTTAAGAGAACTTACAGAGCTACGAGGTAACTAGGGCCGAGAAGAAGAAGGGGAGGGGGTTATATTTGTGGAGCCTATCACGATGATAGTGCCGCCGGCGTTGCAGGATTTGCCAGAAACAATGACGCCTGAGAGCAGCGCCAGTTCGAGCGCTAGGGACAACGGTGGCGACCACCCTACTGCATCGTCTAGCAGCTCGTCCTCAGAGGAGACACCCAGCCACGGGGAAGGGACGGGGGATGTGGTTAGTCATGTCTCAGATCGGCCTGTAATTGGAGAGTGGGAAAGCAGGACAATCACGGGCAGGTTGAGCAATCTGCGAAAGGCGCCCAAGGACCTGCCCGCTGGATTTAGGTTCAGGGCCGCGCTTAATCATGAAGTAGCAGACTGTGCGCCCTCAATAAGTGGGTATAGGAAACTGGAGGAGATGGTGAGGGCGCACCACGTCCCCAGAACGATCTTGCTCCGGACTGGCGCCATGAGTGAGAGGGCGTGCACGGTGTCGCAAACGGGTTGGATACCAGTGTACGTGGATCATTTTGAGGCCGGCCTGCGATTCCCCCTGCCTGGGTTGATATTCGACCTGCTAGCAGAGTACAAGCTAGCTTTAACGCAACTGACACCCAACAGCATAAGGTTCATCATAGGCTTTATGCTGTTGTGTGCGAGGTTGGAGGTCCCGGCAAAGGCGATTGTGTTCAGGTCGCTGTTCCAGTGCCGGCTATGTCCCAACTCCAGAGGGGCGAGGTGGTATTACCTCTCAGGAAGAGAGAAGAGCCAGCTGTTCAAGAATGTAAGGAACAAAGTGGCGAGGTGGAAGAGGCAGTTTATCTTCGTTCGTGATACACGAACATAAAGAATAAGCAACGACCTCGCTGCTCGGCTATCTGAATGGCGTGTGCCGAATGCACATGTCAATTATCCTCAGCCACTGCCTCGGGGCACGGATATAAAGAACCAGCTACTAGAATATGCGAGGAGGGAAGATTTGATAGATCTAGAGGCCCTGGTTACCTCGGAGCAGCTCGCCGTGTTCAGGTTTGTCGACGTGACAAACCTGTTCAGCGAAGGTACAATTTTATCGTATAGTATGTATTCTAGCCGAGCTGAGTCTTATACATTTGTTTGTGTAGGGGAAATGAGCAGCATTCTCGAACGCCAACGTCAGCGAGCCCAAGGCTCACGAGGTCGCGGGGCGGGCAGCACCTCGCAAAGACAGACGCCATTTGACGAGCGGCCGCCCCCAGTGCCACAATCACGCAGCTCGTCACACCGCAGATCGAGCTCGGCGTCCCGGCCACGTAACGACCAGCGGGCTAAGACTGCGGCCCCCAGTGCATGCAGGCGCGCACGTGAGGAGACAGAGAGTGAAGATGACGTCCCCCTCATCCGACGCAGAACGAGCGGGGGGACTCAGCCTGCGCAGGCGTCTCAAATGGCGGCTGCGCGCTCGTCGAACGCACCCTCTGCCACGGTGTGAGCAGCGAATCCTGCGGCTGCGTCGGCCTCAATGACAGGGCCAAGGATCGCGTATCCTGAGGGCTTCAGCTACGTGAAGCCCGAGTGCCAGCCCGCCATGGTGCAAGGCATGCAAAGCTTTATGCCTCCCTCGGATCGGCAGCGAGCAAGAGCTTTCGTGCAGCAGCATGGCGGGCAGGTCGCCATGGTCAAGCTGATGGACGTAAGTATTTGCTCACACTTGCTTAAGTGTTTTACTTTTCCTTTCTAGAGACTAACAGTTATTGCTGTTTGGCAGGCGTTCAGCTACACGATAGCGCTGTTTGAGAGCGAGCAGGGGGCTCGCTCTCAGAATAATGAGCTCAGCGCCAATTGCAAGCAGTTGGCCGCAGAGAAAGCCAGCCTTGTGGACGATGTGAATCCTTTGCAAGGCTCTGAAATGGCCAATCAAGCTGCTGCTGTAGAGAGTCGTGCGGACGAGCTTGCCAACAAAAACAACGAGCTCAGAGAGGAGCTGGAGCGAGCCCGCGCAGAAAAAGAGAGCGGGATCCAGGCAGCAAAGGAGGAGGCCGCCCGGGTTGAGGAACAGGCCAAGAAGGCTGAGGCCGATAAGGACCGCACTCAGCGCGAGCTGAGCTCCCTTAGGCACCAGGTCGCCGAGGCCGACAGGAACCTCAATGCTGCTGAGGAGGCCCTGAATGAGCTGAAGACTTCTCACGGGCGCTCAGTAGGCATCGCCCGAGCTGAAGGGGTAGAATGGTTCATGGGCTCGGCTGCATTCCAAGACGCCGTGGCGGTGGCGTCTGCAAACATGACCACGGAGATCTACAACGAAATCCGTGGGAAGGTGCTGCAACATCGCCCGAACTTCCCGATTGGCGAGCTGGCATTCTTCGACGGTGAGGATTTGGACGAGCAGGGGAAGAGCCTTGCACCCCTTGCCGACGCGACGGTGCAGTTGAGGTGGGATCTCAACGAGGAGGGGGTACCTGTCTGGCCTCCTTCGATCCTAGAGGAAGGGGAGGATCTAGCGGGTCTGCCCACCTTCGACGCCTGGGTGGAAGAGGTTCCTGTGGCTGAGCAGGAGCCATCAAGCACTCCACCAAACTCTCAGCCCGCCATGGTGCCGGTGAGGTCACCCGTCATTGCACCAGCTCCAGAGCCCGCTGCCCGCTCGCCTCTAGCTCGCTCCTCTTCGCCAGCGGCTGACGTGTCCATGCCCGTCGATTTGACGAATGACTAGACTTAGGACTTTTTTGTTTTGATCTTTTGTATTTTGTTTCTGCATTTTTGTATTTGATCAATGGATCCTATCATATGTACCTCTAATGTAAACATCTTTGATGAAATACAAATATGCACTTTCCTTGGAATTTTTGTTGTATTTTCTATATATCGTTGTTTACAATTGTTGGATAACAACTTGAATTAAATAATAGTACACATGTTAACTATAAAATTTTCTAAGATTCTGCACGTTCCAAATGTAAGGTAACTGACGTCCTTGTATATCTGCTAACATGTAAGATCCAGGTCGTTTAACTCGAACAACCATATAGGGACCCTCCCAATTAGGAGCGAGCTTGCCCATGTGTGAATAAGTATTGGTTAATCCAGCTTTGCGTAGAACCAAATCGCCAACTTGAAACTGACGAGCTCGAACTCGCTTATTATAAAATTTTACAACACGACTTTGATGTGCCATGTTTCTTATTCGAGATGTCTCCCTGACCTCTTCCACAAGGTCTAGGTTCTCTCTTAAGAGTTGCTCATTATTATGATCGTCATGACGATCTGATCTATCAGATGGCAATCCTACCTCGACAAGGATGACGACCTCAGCTCCATACGCCAGGCTGAATGGGGTTTCGCCTATGGCCGAGCTGGGTGTAGTGCGACATGACCAAAGCACTTTATTAAGCTCGTCAACCCAATTAGAACGCGCAGCTAAAACATGCGTCTTGAGGCCTCTCAAGACGATTTTATTGGCAGACTCGGCTTGCCCATTTGACTGTGGAGTATACATGAATGTCAAGGCGAGCTCAATGCCATAGTCATTACAAAACGACCTCAGTGCTGTTGCTCGGAACTGTGGCCCATTTTCAGCAATGATTCGCTTAGGTATATCAAACCTGCACACAGATGACCGAGCTGAGCTACAAATTATATTTGCATATAATGTACCAATGACTTGAGTCATCAAAGAATACCTGCACAATATTGAACTGAACAAGAATTCTTCTATTTTCTTTTCTGTTGTCGTGGATAATGGTTTAGCTTCTATCCACTTGGTGAAATAATCCACTGCGACAACGAGGTAAGTGCATCCTCCTTTGCCTTTCACGAAAGGACCAAGCAGATCGACTCCCCATTGAGCGAAAGGCCAAGGAGCTGAGAGTGATGAGAGCATTTCTCCTGTTTCAACAAAGATACTTATGCTCAGTTATCAAACGAACACAAAGTTTGCACAAACTTTAGAACGATCTCGGATACCTGGCATGTGGATATCATCGGCATTGAACTGGCAGGTCGGGCTTTTTTTGACATAGTTCTGTGCGTCCTCAATCATAGTCGGCCAGTAATACCCATTCCTCAGGAGTTTCCGAGCTAAAGTCCTGCCACCGATGTGTGTGCCACATACTCCTTCATGAACTTCCCTTACAACGTATTCAGCTTCATAAGGAGTAAGGCAGCGTAAGAGGGGTATTGAGGCTGCTCGTTTGTAGAGCTGATTTTCTAACAGAGTGAAATGAGCCGCCTTGCGTTTAATCAACTTTGCAGTGGATGGATCTTTAGGCAGCTCGCCACTTTGCAGATAATTTATGAGTGGGGTGGTCCATCTCGGTGTAGAGGGATCTGTACTTAACAGCTAACACTCGACCGTGAAATCAGTGTAGCTCGGGACGTCAAGCAATTCGACAATGGTTGACCTCTGAGGGTTAAGGTCCTGCGAGGAGGCCAACTTTGACAGCTCGTCAGCTCGGTTGTTATCTGCTCTTGGTATTTTATCGATCTGGAATGAGACAAATCCTGACTTCAATTTGTTGACCACAGAAGCATAACGGCCAAGCTGAGGGTCCCTGATTTCACAGCTGCCATTTACCTGGCCCACCATGAGCTTAGAGTCACTAAAAACCTGAATGCTCTATACCTTCAGCTCGGACGCCAGCTTCAGACCATAAATGAGGGCTTCATACTCTGCAGCGTTATTAGTTGTCTGAAACTTAAACCTCAGCGCGTGCTCGGATTTAAAGCCGTCAGGGCCCAGTAACACAGCCCCAACACCCGATCCTTCAACATTAGCAGCTTCATCTACATACAAAACCCAGACTGGGTGCTCAGGTGCCTTTTCTTTCACAGTCGCCGAGACGCATTCCACCAAGAAATCTGCCACAGCCTGGCCTTTTATAGTCATGCGTGGCTGAAATTTGAGGTCATACTCACTCAGCTCGACGCTCCATCCGATTAGCCAACTAGAGAGTTCTGGCTTCTGCAATATCTTCCTTAGCGGCAAATCAGTATAGACAACAATTTGATAAGACTGAAAGTAAGCTCTCAGCTTACGAGCTGTGCAGACCAAAGCAAAAGCAGCCTTTTCTACTAGTGGGTAGTTCTGCTCAGCACCTTGTAAAACCTTGCTCACATAGCAGATAGGCTTCTGATTCTTATTCTCCTCCCTGAGCAAGACTGAGCTCACTGCCTTTTCTGTAACCCCCAAGTACATGTATAAACTCTCCCCTTCCATAGGCTTGGACAGCAGAGGTGCTGATACCAGATATTGTTTGAGCTCGTCAAACGGCCTCTGACACTCATCGGTCCATTGAAAGTTCTTGGGCTCTCGTAGGGCTTTGAAGAATGGGAGGCATCTGTCTGCCGACCTGGCTATGAACCTATGCAGCGCAGCTACACGGCCCGTCAAACGCTGCACATCTTTGACAGTCCTGGGCGGCTCCATCTACTGAACAGCCTGAACCTTCTCTGGATTTACTTCAATTCCTTTCTTGGATACCACATACCCTAGGAATTTTCCTGACTCTACAGCAAATGTGAATTTCAAGGGATTTAGCTTCATTTGAGCTCGGCGCAAGTTTTGAAAGGTCTCACTCAGGTTGCCTATGTGATCTTCGGCTCGTACACTGGTGACTATCATGTTATCCACAAATACTTCTATGTTTCTACCAATCTGGAGCTTAAAGATGATTTGCACCAGTTTCTGATATGTAGCACCAGCATTCTTTAGGCCAAAGGGCATCATCACATAGCAGTAGATTGCATCACCAGCGTAAAAAGTTGTTTTCTCCTGGTCGTCTAACTACAGCTGGACCTGGTGATAACTCGAGCTAGCATCAAGAAAGCTCATCTGTTCGTGTCCGGCTGCCCGCTCTACTAGCTTCTCGACGTTTGGCAAGGGATAGGGGTTTTTCGGGCACGCCTCATTTAAATTGGTGAAATCAATGCACATCCTCCACTTGCCATTCGGTTTTTTAACTAGCACAGGGTTGGACACCCACTCAGAGTATTCGACTCTTCTGATGAAGCCTGCCTGTAGCAGCTTTTGTATTTCTTCGTCTATGGCAGCTTGCTTCTCAGGGCCAAAAAGGTGACGCTTCTGAACCACCGGCTTTCTGGTGGGGTATGTGCTGAGCTTGTGGATTGTCAACTCCGTCGGGATGCCAGGCATTTCATCCGCAGTCCACGCAAACACATCCTGATTAACCCTCAAAAACTCCAAAAGCTCTGCCCGTTCCTCTTCTGTGAGTTTGGTGTCGATCTTAACCGTCCTTTCTGGCACATCAGGGCTTAGAGGGACTGTTTCTACTGGCTCCACTAGCTCTGCCTTCTGCTCGACACCCTCAGGTTGGTGCTCAATGTCTGATATGCTCATTGTCTGCTGACCGAGCTAGGTTGGTCTGTGATTTTCGGAGCCTGCAGGGGCAGCAACGAGCTCAACCTTTTTGAAAGTATCTTGGTAGCAGGTTCTGGCCATTCTGATTCCCTTTAAGCACTCCTACCCCTTGAGGAGTTGGGAATTTCATGCAGAGATGGGGTTGTGAGACGACAGCCTTCAGCTCGCAAAGAGTGGCTCTTCACAATATAGCGTTGAAAGCTGACTCCATCTTGACGACCAGGAAGGTAACGGAAGCCATCCTGAACCGTGGTTCCGAGCCCACATAGATGGGAAGGGTAATGACTCCTTCAACCGGGACGGGCTGATTGTCAAACCCATATATAGGCCCTTCGTGTTTCTGCAATGAGCTCGGATTCAGCTGCATTTTCTGAAAGCAACTCCAGTACAGGATATCCGGCGAGCTACCCGTATCAATGAAGACCTTGTTGACGTTATGGTTGCCTATATGAACCGTTGCCACAAAAGGATCTGCATGTGGCATCATAACGTTGGGCTCTCCTTCTGCTCGCTTATAGTCTGCTGGGCTGAATGTGATGGGTGCATTTTCTCATTCTGCTTCTTCAAACTGGCGTTTCAAAGGCCTGTTTTTATTAACTGTCATCACCTAACGTGCATACGCTTTGCGACCTCGGGCGCTTTGGCCTCCGGAGTGAACACCACCTGAGATCATATTTATTGTAGCAGAGGGCGGGGGTATCCCAGCATAATCTACCCCTTTCCTATCTTTTTGGTTCTGGGCAGCAGTTCTCTGTCCCTGTCCTCTCCTATTGAACGGACGTCCTCTGTACGCCCTGCCCTGCTCAGAAGGATACTAGTTATCCTGATATACATCCTGTGCCCCGCCGAGCTGGTACCTCTGCCCCTAAGGTCGGTCATACCCCTGTACAAAATGAGTTTAAGTGGGTTGCTGGGTGTGGGGCTTTTGAACATATCCTTCTAGCTTCCCATTGCGAGCCAGGAACTCCAGCTCGTCCTTTAAGTGTTGACAATCTTCTGTATTGTGATCGTACACGCGATGGTAGTCACAATGTTTACTCTTGTCTGCCCTTGGGGAATCATGCAATGGTGGCGGGGGTCTCCTAACCCAGTGCTGGATTTGCGCAAGGATTTGAGACCTTGGCAAGGTTAAAGAAATGTAGTTGGCATACTTTGGGAAGTCAGCGGGCTTCCCCCACTGCTCGTTGACTTTCTATTTCTTCTTCTCTTCCCTCCTTGGTGGCTGTTCCTGGCTTTTGCTTTGCTTATCGTCAGCTCGTCGCTTGGACGACTGAAAGTCCTCTGACAGTATGAAGCTGGCCGACCTGTCATTCACTTCATTCCACGTCTTCGGCGGGTTTTCGAGCAGGTCATCTAGGAACCGACCACGCTTCAAACCATGCAACAAGGCGGATAGGCAGATGGTATCTGGGACGTTATCAATGTCTAAAGTGGCTTTGTTGAATCGCTGCATGTAGTTCCTCAAAGATTCCCCTTCTTTCTGATGAACTTGCATCAGCTCGGTCGCTGTGCGTTTAATTTCCCTTTGGCTCGCAAATTTGTTAGAGAATAGCTTGGCGAGCTGGGAATAAGAATCTATAGAGTGTCTGGGGAGTTTATGATACCATCTTCTGGCCATTGACTTTAGTGTCGCTTGGAACACTTTACACATCATGGCATCATTGGCATTTTGAATTCTCATGATGGCTTGATAGGTGTGTAGATGCTTGTCTGGGTCGCCCGAGCCATCGTATGTCTCCAGGTGGGGAATTTTGAATCCCTCTTGATACGGTTCTGCTGTGATGGATAGGTTTAGTGGAGCACTATCCAAATCCAAGGTCTGTTGGTGCGACCTAAGACTTTTCAGCTCGTCAATAAATTTTTGTACGTCTCGCAGCTGTCTTTCAAGGTCTGCGTTTTTGCTCATCAGTTCTTCACTATGCTTGGACGAGCTGGGCTCGATATTCAGCTTCCCACTTCCCCTTGGCCTGGTCGGCACTACTATGTTGCTTAGAGTGGGGGAGTTTCGAGCTGCCACAACTGCAGCTGGTTGTGCATCCCTGTTCAACAAAGGAATCAGGGGGTCATCAGGAATCAGACAGGCAAGAATTTTACCCATTGCCATTTTGAGAACTCTGGTTATCTCTTCGAGCTCGGTTGTTCGAGCAGGCTCTGCTGACCTTTCAGGTCGTTCCTGTTGTAGATTGCTTTGCCTGGGTTGTCTTTGTCTTGTTCCTGTTGGAACTTGGAAATGTTCAGGCTAAGTTGCATACCCAGTGGGTGTTCTTTCATCATCTGTTCCACTTAACTGATCCTGTTCTGCTCCTCCAACGACAAGGTTTCTTGGCATTGTCCTATAATTATTCAAACCGGGCTCAGACAACTGAGTGTCCTCCTGTTCGTCCATTTCATCTCTTGGAGGGCGAATTCCAGTAAAGGTACGGACCATTTTGTCTTCCTGCCAATTAAACTACACAGCTTCTTGTTCAATTCCCACAGACGGCGCCAAATGTTTAGGCAGCTTCACAATCTAACACTGTTGAAGTCCTCAGCTGCTTCCACACCTGTAAATCCCGAGGATGTTTCCTCGGGGAAAACACTCTGACGCTCAAGTCAGCAATACTCGATATTCTAGAGAGAAAGGCTCTCAAGGAGTAATTGCAGAGAGAAAAGCGTAGAGATTAATTACCTTCATCGGAGGTAGTTGGGGGGTATTTATAGCCCCAAGTGCTGACATGCATCTGTACATGTAAGCATCTCATTGGCCCACGTGGTGCTGGTCACGTGGGTATGCTTGCATTAATGTTCCCTCAACTTGGGCTAGTGGGCGGTAGTCTAGGCCCGTTATGCACAGCCCTATTTGGATGTTGGGCCTATTCCAAAAAGTTTCTTACAGAATCTGATCTCAACTTCTTCTACGGCGGGCATGGCTCCCTCCTTCACTTCCCATTTCTCGAGCTCCTCAAGCATCCACAATTTTAAGACTTGAAGCTTTAGGAAACTGCCACGACTACATTTCATTGTTTTCCCCATGTAGGAACGGCCGTGCAGGCTAAGGACCTTCAGGTTCTTCAGCTGTCCTAGTTTTTCCATAAGGTCGTCCGACAGTTCTGACACCACCAAAGTAAGGATCTCTAGATTTGGGAGAAATGTGTCAAGATCATATTGCTCTGGAAGTTCTATTTTCCCAAAAATATACAACTGTGATAGCTTATCATGACGATCGCCTAGGCTCCCTAATTTCAATGAAGGTGGCTTGCGGCTTTTGTCTACTCTTGAAAGAATCCTCTTTACAAGTTAAGCCCCAACAATCCTCTTTACAAATCACTCTTTACAAATTAAGCCCCAAGAATCCTCTTTACAAATCACTCTTGAAAGAATAATCACACCCCAAGAATAACAGACAAGTAGAACAAGAAGAGAATTAAAAGCAAAGATCAAAAACTCAAGTTAAAGCACAAGTTGGTAGGTAAAGATATTTAATACAATACTCTAAAACTTGGTTCAGATCTATTACTAATCATATTTATAATCCCTTGGTTGAAAATAGCCATTTCTAACCATTAGGGGTCATTACATGCTTTGCAAGTTGTATAATTTCGAGTTACAAATTTGTTAGCAAAGCCGGCTCTGAATTTGGAGTTAGCTTAGTAGAGCTGGCTATAAAAACGTAAAGCCGGCTTTGGAAATCCGACTTTAAAAAGATTAAAAATTTTTTAAACAACTTGACCATTATTTATTAAATGCGCTTTCATAGTTGGCTGCAAAGTTAAAAGACAGCTTTGCATCCGTTTTTCGCACGCACCGAACTGTAGGTTTAAAACTTTTGCTCATAAAGCTAGCTATAGATTCTAAAGCCGGCTTTGGAAATCCAACTTTAAAAAGATTAAATAATTTGACCATTATGTATTAAATGCGCCTTCATAGCTGGCTACAAAGTTAAAAGCCGACTTTGCATCCGTTTTTCGCACACACCAAACTGTAGGTTTAAAACTTTCACTCGTAAAGCTAGCTGCAGATTCTAAAGCCGAATCTTTGTAGTTTTATTCACCAGAGCCGACTGTAGGTTTCTAGAGCTAGCTTTCTGCACAATTCTCAGGCTTTTGGTCCAGTTTAGTGCAGTTCAAGTTAACTTAATTTTGCAATCTTTTGACAGTTCAACTATACATTTAAATTAATAAATTAGTCATTCGAATATATTTTGTAATCATCAAAATCATAGGTACAACAGTTACAAGCCTTATACATAGGCTTGAAGAATGGCAAGACTTACAGGAATAAAATCACCTAGTGAATAGCAATAGATCACCATGTGCGTGCATGACAAAGTGGGTTTTAATCACCATTATATGGAATGCATAAATGCATGAAATTATGGGATGTTAATTATCCTTATAATTGGATGGAAGAATTGGGAGGTGAGGAAGAAAGAGTGGAAGATGAAACATCAACCAAAGTAAATTTGATTCATAATATACAAGTATCTCAACCTTTGTAGTTTGAGAAAAGGGATAAATAAGGATGCAAATTTTAGATTTTTTTTTTTTTTTTAAGAATGTTAATTTTGTCAGTTTTTAAATAAAGATATTAACTTTTAATTTCTTCTATTTAAGAGTGTCAACTTTCAATTTTTTCTATTTAATGATTAATTGAATGATAATACTAACATAACAAACAGATTTTTTAACTACAATGTTAAAAATTGATATTCTTAAATAGAAAAAATTAAAAGTTAACATCCTTGAATAAAAAAAGTTAAAAGTTGATATTTGTATTTAAAAACTAATAAAGTTAATATTTTTAAATAGAAAAAAGTGCAAAATTCGCATCCTTATTTGCACCATTTCTCTTTGTAGTTTCTTTTCAGTCTTTAAGTTTTAATGACAACAAAATTAATAGGTAGTATTGATTATTGTTATTGTTATTATTGCCCTACAAACTAACCTTTTTTTTTTTTTTGGTACATTAAGAATTATATACTTAATATTATAAGGGTTTGAACCTTTATTCTTAATACTGATTCTTTGTTTGGTTTGAAAAAAAAAGGAGAGAAAATGGGAGGAGATGAGAGATAATATCCTTCCATTTTCCCTCCCTTCCCTCCCCTTTCCTTGTTTGGTGATATTAAAATTACAAAAAAATAAATAAATAAATAAAGAAAAGCTCTTTCCCTTATCTCAAACCAAACAATTAATAAATCAAATCACTAATGCTGTAATTATAATATCACATAAATTGTTATTAAATAAATTGATGTATATAATAAATATATTCTTAAATTAAAAGAACTAATCACATAACAACATATTATAATTATGAACTTATAATATTATATAGTATTATAACTATATTACTTTCATAAATCAAGATTTTTAATTTGTGAGTATCGTACCAGGACTCTTGAACTTTTGTCGGTACTCTATACACTAACGAAATATGTCCATTGTCACATCTATATAAGGGAATTAAAGGACTGAAATTGTGGTTCTACAAGCTCCATTGCTTCTATGCATAGTTCAGCATTAAATGGACAGAGACTTGGCCATAACTCAATGAGTAAATGATACATGAAAGCAAATTTTAGGACAAGACCATAATTAATTACTACAGTATATTCTTCCTAAAAATTGAGTTTAACTATGATTATTCTAGCACGATACAAGAAAAATGAAAAGCATGTGCTAATAAATTTCGTACCACAAGGTTTTTTTAAGCCAAATCCATATCACACTGGATATATAGAGAAAGAAATAAGACCAATGCATGGCGAGCTGCTTGCTTTGACTTGACACCAGCGTAAAGTCATTATGATGATACTCTCAACCCTACTGAAACCCAGAGATCACTCCAAGAGCTTGATTTCCACTTGTAGATGCCATGCTCTTTTCGATTCCTTGTGCATTCTTTTCCTAACATAAAAACAAAGATAATTAAAAGAAATGATTGTTATTAATTTTGCAGAACTATCTTTCTTTCCATTACAGCATCTCAAGCAATAGAAAATATACGAGTAACTAATATGCACAGATGTTTTTTACAATCGCCTTACACTTAAAATCATTAGTTTTGGATTTGAAAAGACAATGCATTAAGATTCATTAATAGTAATTGAACTTTTCCCACCCTTAATAAATGATTGAACTTTTCCCATCCTTAATAAATGATTTTAAGTGTACTCCACCATTAAAAAAACCATTCTCGATTTATGTCAATCTTGATTTCATACGTTAATTTGAGTGGGAAAAAAAAAATAAAAATCCAAAGGTAAAATCCGAGAGGAACTCACCCAGGTAGAAGAAAACTTCAAGCTCTCTTCCCTGACTATCATGCCTAGGCTTTCTTTAAGCTCCTTCACAAATTCTTGCTCCATATTTGTCAAAAGCAAGTCCTTCAAAGTGGTCAACTCCTTCAATCCATCAATATTATTGAGTTTCTTACAGAATCTGATCTCAACTTCTTCTACGGCGGGCATGGCTCCCTTCTCCACTTCCCATTTCTCGAGCTCCTCAAGCATCCACAATTTTAAGACTTCAAGCTTTAGGAAACTGCCACGACTACATTTCATTGTTTTCCCCTTGTAGGAACGGCCGTGCAGCCTAAGGACCTTCAGGTTCTCCAGCTGTCCTAGTTTTTCCATAGGGTCGTCCGACAGTTCTGACACCACCAAAGTAAGGATCTGTAGATTTGGGAGAAATGTGCCAGAATCATATTGCTCTGGAAGTTCTATTTTCCCAAACAAATACAACTGTGATAGCTTATCTTGATCGCCTAGGTCCCCTAATTTCAATGAAGGTAGCTTGCGGCTTTTGTCTATCAACCTTAATTTCAAAGATTGAAGTTGGGTCAACATAGAAATCCACTCAACTATCTTTTCAATTGATTTTCCATGGCATGTTACTCCCAGTTTTCTAATACCATCCGCCGCCTTCAAATAATCTACAGACTTCTCATTGCGGATCACCAGACCAGATAAAGTCTTAAGCTTGGTTAATGATCCATGTGTCCGAAAGGCCTTTGGAATAGATGTATCAACACAAATATTGTTCATGTAAAGATGTTGAAGATACTTTGCTTTCCAGAACTCACCAGGTAAAGTGCTGATATTAGTATGCTTCACATCCAAAGTCTCAAGGCAAGGCAAGTCACCAACTGAATCAGGAATTAAATCCAAAAAAGTCCATCTTAAACCCAAATACTTGAGGCTTGGAAATTTGCCTAGATGTTTAGATAGCACTGGTTTGTAGACTCCTTCTAAATCAAGTATGACAATTAATCCAAAACCTCCCCTAACAATCTTCTTAAGAAGTTTATCTACTCCAGATGCAGGTTGATCACCTCTTTCCGTTTTGAAAGAAATGTAAGAACGTAGCTGAAAGCTGCATTTTGGAAGACTGTTATAGTGGATCTCTTGGTGTTCTGCAAACCTTCGAATGAACTCAGGTTGTTTGGAGGTTTCTTTCTCATCCTGGTTGAACTGATTGTGAAACAATCCACCTGTCTCTGTTCCTCGAGATAATTCATCATACAGAGTATCTTGCATACGAACAGTTTTGGGGCTCCCATTGAACTTTCTTTCTCCCACTTCAATGAATGTTCTTTTTTTCAAGTCTTCAATGTATTTCTTCACTTTCTCTTCAAAACTTTCAGAATCTTCTTTCTTTGCTTCTTGTTTCACCAATCCCTCGGCTTGTAGTAGTTGAAACAACCTCCTAAAAGGAACATTGCATGATCTGGGAAAGAGGCCTAAATATTTAAGGCAGAACTTTAAATGAGGTTCTAGGTCCTTGTAGCCTAAAGCCAAGATACTTAAGGGTCCATCCGAGGAACCTAATTGATCATGCTGTTTATCTTTTTTTTGCTTAGTTTCTGATGAAGCCAATTCATTTAAGAAACGTTCCTGTTCTTCATTGGTTGCTCCATGCTTCACCTTTCCTTCTTCTTGCATTGGTTTAGCTTCTCTGGGACCTGTTTCCTCAATCTCCTCCTTACCAACTTTGTCTTCTAGCTTGGTATCTAATGAGCCATGTTGAGTGGAAGAATTTGATTGATCTGTTATAAAATTCTGTCCATTTTCTTGCTTCATATATGAGGAAGCCTGTTGCCTTGAGGAACTCGATCCATCTTCATCAGTTGCCTTCTTTTTGCTTTCTTTCTTTTGATTGACTTGCTCAATGACTTTAGACCATGCCTCGAAGTTTGGATCTTTGGTAGACAGCAAACCTCCAAGTACAACTATATTAAGAGGCAGGCCACCACATCCTTGCAAAATCCTTTTTCTGAGAGCTTTCAATTCTTCATTTTTTAGGACTTCTGGTACCTGTACCTTCTTTGTAAACAATTCCCAACTTTCATCATCGTTTAGTAAACGTAGTTGGATAACTCTGTTATGCAGATTAATATGGCGTGCCACACTGGCTTCACGAGTTGTCAGTATCACCCTGCTCCCATTTGCTGAATTTGGAAAGGCAAGACTGAGTGTTTCCCAATCATAAGCTGTATGGACATCATCTAAAACTATTAGGTATCTCTTCCAAGCCAAGAAAATTCGAAGTCTTTTTTGCAATTCCTCTTTGGACCAGCTTTCATCCTTCCGCACCATTCCCAGCTGCATACATAAGTCTGCCAAGAGTTTTCTCGCCTCAAATACTTGAGAAACAGAAACAAAAGCTCTACAGTCAAAATGCTGCTTAATTGCTAAACTATTGTAAATTGCCTTCACAAGCATCGTCTTGCCAGAGCCTGCCAAACCCACCACTGAGATGAGAAATTCATAACTGTCAAGTAGCAGTTCAGCTAATTCCTTCACTTTATCATCCAGTCCAAAAAAGCCCGACTCATTGGCCTTAATATCAGAAAGTCTTCCCCACCTATGTTTAACTCTTGGTTTTGAAACCTTTTCATCCAGCAACTCTTTTCCACAAACTGTTCCAAAGATCCAAGAAGAATTGGTTTGACAAGCCGCATTAGCCTCATGGACAGTTAGAATCACCCGGCTACCATTCATGGAGTTGGGAAGGGCTTGTTTGAGCTTGTCCCAAACATCAGTCGTCCAAGCATCATATAAAACTATAAGGTACCTCTTCGGAGCAAGGAAATTGCAAAGCTTCTTTTGTAGTGTCACCGGGTCCCGGTTTTCTTCTTCTACTTTGTTATCTGTAACTTGTTCCAAAATATGAGCTAGAAGATCTTGAAGATCTTTTTCTTTGAACTCCTTTGGAACATGAACCCAGGCACGGTATTGGAATAACTGCTTAACATCCTCTGCATTGTACATGGCCCACAAGAAAGTTGTGTTCTCTGATTGTGCCACCCCAACAATGGAAATGAGAAACAACAATTTATACTGATTTAAGATTGACTGGGATAACTCCGTTGTAATATCCTTCATGCCAAGAATTCTAGATTCCTCCAGCAAATAATCTTTAGACTTCTCAAGCTGTTGGTGCGACCTTTCCTTTGAAAAATTGGTTGAAGTGATTCCTTTAGAGATGAGAAGCACTCGGCTACCATTCAATGAGTAGGGAAAGGCAGATTTGAGATTGCTCCAAACATTATCTCTTAGTTCACCATATAAAACTATCAGGTACCTTTTAAAAACTAAGAAATCATGAAGCCGCTTCGTCAATAACTGATTTGACAGCTCGGATGCTTCCTGCTTATTAGGACTAATTTGTTTCAAAATATCACTTTCTCCTGATTCTTTAGAAACAACAACCCAACAGCGAAACTGAAAATGTTGTTTAGTATCGTGAGAATGGTAGGAAGCCCACAATAAAATTGCATCACTCGGGTATTCCAAGTTGGCTTTCAGAATGTGAAGTTGCCTCATCCGCCTACTAAGGAGTTCTGGTGGAGCTAACTTACTTACTAACTCCTCCAAGACAACTGGGACAGACCCTTCCTCCCAACGCTGATGATGGCTTTCATCTGAATCATTCAATACACTGCTGTCCCTCCCAACATCTTTGTTTCCTGACAAGACTTGACTGCCCTCTGAAATACTTTGTCCTTTTTGAAAAACTGCATCTCCTTTAAATGAATTCTTTTGAGGAACCGTGTTACCAGAGGGCTCCTTTGCTGGAACCTCTGCAGCATCTAAGTTGCCTCGTAACTTCTCGTCTGAAACTTGCAGAGACAAGAAACATTCTTCTAGTTCCTTAGCTTGCTTGTGCAACTTGTCACGAAATATGCTCTTTGCAATTACAAAATATTTGACAGGAACCTTCTCGATGGAGATTTTTTGCCTCTGCAGCATTTTTCTAGCAATGATGGAGTCAATGCTATCCTCCACACTGCAAATTTGAGTCAAAAGCTCTTTCGACTCGTACTTTCTAGGATTTTTCTTTGTATTTTCCTGAATATCATTCAATAATTTGCTCAATGCTTTTTGGGAATTTGCATACTGTTGTATTTTCTCCATCAGTGGTGGGACTATTATGAGAAGATCCGTGGAGAAAGAGTCTAGAATTGCAACAGAGGTGAATTTTCGATTGGATTCTTCGGATTCTTCCATCTGAAATCAATAACCAAAAAAGATACAAGAATAAATTAACTTAAACAAGAAAAAGAAAATCAGTCTGAAAACAAATTCATTGCTTCACTGACACTTTAAACTTTACTCCAAAGCACTACAAATCCAATACTTCAAAGCACTACAAATCCAATTATTCGCATGGTATATAATTAGGCAGTGGAGAACTCTAACCCTTATCCACAATGCCAACTACTTTTACACTAGTAAAAAGAGTTCAAATGTGTTTGATATTGTTTTCACAACACTCTTAATACAGTTATTCAATACTAAAAATGTTAATATGTAACAATTAAATTGACTTTGTTTGATGTCTTGTGTATTTAATTATAGTTTGTTTTTATATTAATTTGTGTTTGATAAATTGTTAGGGATTTTTTAAAGAAAAAAGCTATAATAATTTTTCATTTTAAAATATTAAAATATTAATAATAATACCCATTAATACAATACAAGTCTAAGAACACCTACTTACTTCCTTTATCATATATTTGGGTTGAAGGGAATGAAGGGCAGGATAGGGAAAGATTTTATGACTAATAAAATGTTATAATTTGATTAGTTAAAAAATCTTTTCCTCTTCTCTCCTGATTCTCCTCAATCCAAACATATTACTAAGATTGAGGGAAAAATAGGAGAGGAATAGATTTTTTTGCTAATTAAGGCCCCATTTAGTACAGTTGTGAATTTTAGTTTCAATTTTCAAAATTCAACCTTAATTAATATATAGAATTTCTTAATTTTATTTTAGAATATGTAAATTTTTTAAAATAAAAATAAAACACTCAAAATCACAGCTGTACTAAATAGAGCTTAGATTATAATATTAACTAATATTACAATTTAATTAGTTAAAAAATTCATCTCTCCCCTCCGATTCCTTAAACCAAACATACTCTTAATATTTCCTTTTTATTTTTTCTTAGATTGATTTTAGCAGCAACAGCGAGAGGACCACCCAACAATTCCAAACAAATTCAATGTCTCGAATCTTTTATTTTCACCAAACCCTTCAAAAGTAATTATTTGTCACAATTGACCAATTTTGAAACTATTTCCCACACGATGGCCACCAAAAGAAAGAAAAAAAAAAAACTATATTTTACACAATTTAATTACACCAAATTAATACTAAATAGCGATTGAGCAATACCCATTCAAAACTCATTTTCATCACTCAGATATTTTCATGTAAATTCATGATTATAATCTCCCTAGTGTACGTGACTTGTTGAAAATATCAAAAGCATGCCAAAAGTCTACAAATACATGAAGTTATGTAGCAGATCTAAGATTTAAGAATAATAAATAGTAGGAGAGAAATGTGATTTACCTAAATAAGACTGGCAAGTTGCGATCATAATCCAATCCCTTACTCTATCTTGCTCATCATGACTTATATCTTAGAAAAATCAACAATCAAAATGTAAGAATGAGGGCGGTTTTCATTGGGACTGAGCCTGGGAGGCTCAGCTAAGCGAGAGGGAAAAATGAAGTAAGATGGCCAAAAAGAAGGGCAAAATTAATATAAACAATTAATTACACAAATTAACTATTTCTTACACAATTTAATTACGCCAAATTAATACTAAATAGCAACTGAGCAATACCCATTCAAAATTCATTTTCATCACTCACATATTTTCATGTAAATTCATGATTTTAATCACCCTAGTGTACATATGACTTGTTTAAAATATCAAAAGCATGCTAAAAGTCTACAAATACATGAAGTTATGTAGCAGATCTAAGATTTGAGAATAATATATAGCAAGAGAGAAATGTGATTTACCTAAATAAGACTGGCAAGTTGCGACCACAATCCAATCCCTTACTCTATCTTGCTCATCAT